AGCTTAAATAGGCTATTCCTGCTGCCCAATCCATTTGGCCTTTGACAATAAAATTTATTGAAATTGAAATTATTAATACTTACAGTATCTGCTTTCGAACTCAACCTTTCAGTCTTATCAGCCTGTTGCCCTGTTACATAAGAAAATTAAATACCGAGAAAATATCGAAATGTTATCGAAAACCTTAATTTGATCTCCTATTTGATTGAAAAAAATACAAACAACATTGAGTATGAACAAAGGCAAGGTCAATACGCCGACTGTAAAAAAAGTAAGACATCAAAACTTTGTGGTCCGCAAGACTTCATATGCTTTATCAGCGATTAATCTGTGAAATATGCAGCAATTAAGTGTTTACCATTATTGAGGACTTCGTTGATACTTATTAAGACATCATGTGACCACCTGTAAATTAATATATATAACACAACAATAGTTATTATTATTTTAATTGATTTTGAGCTGACTCTGATTGGCTGAAAAGACATCATGTGACCACCTGTAAAAGTAGTTATAAACCTGAGTGGTTTGCAGGTGTTCAAAAAAGGTTGGTAGAACAAGTGTTCTTGACCTCCTATAAAAAGATTCTGGAACAGGTGTTCAAAAACGTTGGTAGAAAAAGTGTTATTGACCTGCTATAAGTAGATTCTTGAATTTTTATTAAGTCATTTAGATGCTTGATTAACACCCCATGGGAAACAACCACAGTAATGATCAAGATTAACACTAAAGTCACTTGGATGTTTGATAAAAAATTGTGACTAAAAAAAACATTTTTTTCTTCAATTTTGAAAAAATCAATTAAAATAAAACTATTGTAGCATGGTGATTGCTAACTTAGGTTAACTTAGCAAATCACCATGCTATAATTGTATATTGCTAGTTAATGCTAACCCTCTGGGTTACTCGATGTTATGACACGTTACCTGTTGGTATGTCGTTGTCGTTCTCCGTGCTTGTGTATTGCAGCTTCGTCTCTGGTAGATCCCCATCCTTCATTCCCCCCTTACCCGTCACAACAATGTGGATATTTGACTCGTTTTCAATCGTAGGGGTGGATGTCTGATTTAACACTTTA